TTTATATTTATATTTATATTTATAAAATCCATCCATGCTTACTTAACATTGTGTCACCTGGGTTCAGCTTATAATCATTTGTTAATACAATCTACAACGTGCTTCTAGAATTTTTCTTGTTTACTATTAGGTACATATATTGCTATCATCAACATCTTTTTTTAGTTTATTGTTATTTCTACCATTAACATTCTCCCTTCTTCATCAGAATAGATATGTTTAGAGTTTAGTGTTTCTTTCCCATATAAAGATACCCCTCTTTTCTTTCATTGTGCAGCTGAGTAGTAGAGGTTCCCAATCTTTGGGTAAATCAGATATTTGTAATGCTGCTTTTTAATGTGCGTTACTTGAATTATATATTGATTATATCTGTTTTAGTTTTTTGTAGTTTTGAAAAGACATGATTCCTTTTTCTTGGCGCATTCAGGCCATTGATGTTCACTGAGGAGATCCCAATTTCGTTCTCCATCTTGTTTACTTATATTTAGGTTTTGTTTCCCTGGTATTCCTTTTCTCTCTTTGTATTTTGTTCAGATATTGTCCAATATCCTTTTTCCGACTCTCTTCTTCACTTAGTTCACTCTCCTCTTCTGGTGTTCTCTCCCTCTGTTTTCTACTTTCTTCTTCATTTATATCTTGCCCCTGTGCTTCTTCTTCGAAGAAGGTTATATGTTTTTCAAGGAATTCTCTTGCTTTATGTATGGAGGCAAGCCTAAATCTTCTTGAGTTCCAGTTGATCAGGATCCCTTCAGGTACCAGCCATCTAAAATTCACTCCTTTCCTATTCAGTTTGGTAGTCAAAAATTGATATTGTTTCCTCCCCTCTCTTATTCTCCAAGGTATCTGTTTCAATACCATGATTTCCTTTTGTCTGTATTGTATTGGGTCTTCACTGGTCCTTTGCAGTACTTCATCTCTTGTCGATCTTGTCACAAACTTCATGTGTACTTCATGTGGTATTCTATTCTTTTTCGCATAACTTGAATTTAATCGATATAGTTGGTCTATCTCATTTCCCAAGTCTTCTTTTCCAATTCCCAGTACCTCTGCCAAAATGGTTGCCATCAATTCTGGTAAGTCCTCCTGTTCGTCTTCTGGTATGTTTTGGAATTTAAAAATGTTTGTGGCTCTTTCCATCTCCATTACTGCATTGAATCTGTTAGATTTTTGTTAGCCTGAACCAGTTTGTGGTTTTCTTTTTTCAATTAATCTAATCTCTTTTCTGTTTGATCCGCTTTGTTTTCCAATTTTTCAATTCTTTGTTGGTTCTCTGTGGTGTTTTGCTGGATTTCTTGGAGTTGCGTATTCATCATGCAGATCTGCTTGTTGATTTTATCCAATTTCTCTTCCAGTTTCTGTTGATTAAGTTTGGCTTCTTCATGGTTTCTTCTTGATTCTTAGATGTCTCCTTGGAGGGAGCACTTTCAATGGGGGGAGGGAGTGGATTTAAGTATGCAAGTTCCTGCTTGTGTTTTGAAGCAGTATTTGTTCTGCTACCTTATTCTGTTGCACGTATAGATCCAGCCAGTGTTTTATATAGATAAAGCATATCTAATCCTTTCAGTTTCCTGTGAAAACCTATTACCATCTGTGTAAGCCCAGTTGCCATAACAACATCATATTTCCTCCTGCCCAGCATGTGGGTAAAGCTATTAAATGGATATAATGTGGTGTCATGTTGAGCCTCTAGCAGTGTGCGGAGGTAAAGAACACTCTCTGTGCGCACACATACATACACATACATGTGTGTAAAACAGAAAATATGAAAACAGATTCAAAAATTTGCCAGGAATGTGGTTGATGTATTCCGAAGGTCATTTTGTTTTCTTTCATGATTTGATAATATTTTTCAGGCTAGAGTAAAACCCCACCGGACTTTCAGGTTTAATGAATGTGTCTGTACACCATACAATGCTGATTTTGATGGCGATGAAATGAACCTTCATCTTCCGCAAACTGAGGAGGCCAAAGCAGAAGCACTTGTTCTAATGGGGGTGAGGAAACCACTGTTCCCACTCTTTGTTGAGATGAGGTTGATCAATTCTATTGCTGGTCCTAGTCTTCTGAAAGAACTGTACAAGGTTGCTACTATATATTGCTGCTACGTTGCCTAATGCATCGGTATCCCTCTTCCATTGTTTTGAAAATGGAAGAGGAGATTGCACTAGGTTAGGAGAAAGGGAATAGGAAAGTAAACTACAACATAGTATAGGAGGAAGCAAATTAATAGTTATGATCTGGGCCATTGCATGTGCCACAAAAGGTTAGGAAGTAACTAATCTACATCGAGAAGTGTAATTTAGTGGCAGTCTTTAGCAAAGACAAACGTTAACCTTGGGATCAGAATTAGTTGGGATTTATAATCAAGAGCATTTGATGGCTGCTTCTGCATTTGTGGAAGCCACTCCCTGTCAGATCAGTGTTCAAGAGTCCATGCACCTGACTTGTAAGTGAGCAATTATCATATAAAATTAACACAGGAGCTTTCAAGGTATGAAATACAAGCTCACACATACTATTACAAGTGTGCTATACACATATAATCAGGAAAAGAGATGTAACATTGATTTCTGGAAGTGAAACCAAGAATGGTCTTTCTATGATCTTTCTATAAAAATACTTTAGAGTTATTGAGTAAAACAACCCCGGTCTGATGTGATCTGGAGGCCATAAATTGGCCTCATTCCTGTTGTAAAATAACCTCATGAGATTTTACATCTTCTAAAACCTAGGCTATAATCTAAACAAATTGTCTGAGGGGTAAGCATTACTGAACCCAGTGGGATTTACTTCTGAGGAAACATGTTCAAAATGATATTGTTAGTGTCACCTAAGCAATTTGGTCTGTAATGTTAGGAGACAATGCACTGAGGCCTACTGTTTGGCCTGTCTGTGGAACAAAGGGGTAAATCTTTAGAAACTAATGTTATGGCTTAGTGTGGTGTCCAAATCAAGAGCTTTAAGATATAATGAAAACTTGAGTCTTCCCATTGGTTCTTGTGCTATGGAAATACAGTAATTAGCTATAAGCAAAGCAACAAAAGGACTGGTGGCACCTTACATGACTAACAGTGGTTTGGTTTGTATAACCTTTCACAGACTAGAACATTTTTTTAGATGCATGACATGTTACCAATTTATTATATACATACTTATTTGTTTATATTATTTATATGTTCCCTTTCTCCCCAAGGCGGCTCACAACAATTTAAACTGTACAATAATAAAAAGTCAAAAAATACTATACAGAACTATAAACACAATTAAACATTGATCAAGATTAGAAACAATTTAAAAACATTTTAAGTTTTTTTTTAAAAAAAACTAAGTGTAATAAATGGAATGTTTCCTTCGTCCAGACTTATTTAAAATCCTGCCTGAAAATGATTACCAGTCCATTAGTATCATAGACACTCCCCGTACCTTCCATGGGAAGGTGCAAAATCCTTGGGTTTTTTTTAATTAATATATTGGAAAACAGAATCTTGGCAGCTGCTGTGTGATATTGATAAGGTTTTGGTCATATTTTGATTGTGTGTCTGATCATACACGCATGGTGCTGCTCCCGGCATATGAGGTGGCAGCTTGTATAGCTTCATTTCTTTACATGAAAAACAATAGGATTCTTGCCATTCTGTTAAACTCACACAGTGTAATTAAAAAGATTTTCTTCCTGTTGAAGCCCACAAATAATGGAGTAGAATCTCTTGATGAATTTTTAGTTCAGTTCTTGTTCTGTGTCTAATGTTATGAGAAACAAATAAGCCTCATGGGAGTTCTGATGAGTTGATTCGGTGGTACAGATGGTACCTGATCTGCCAGTGAGCCTGGTTCATAGATTTATCTCACAATCCGTGTTGTGAGGTATGTTACGAGTCATAAAGCAGACATAGCTATGGATGATAAATAGTGCAACATTTTGTGAAATTGCCTAATGAGTGAGTGAAAAAAATTTTCTTTTACCAGACTAAAGCAAACTTGGTAACTCCAAGAAATGGAGAGCCCCTGATTGCTGCAATTCAAGATTTCCTTACAGGTCTGTGCTTTAAAGTCATTTTACCAAGTGTTTGTGAGTGCGCATGCCCTGCTTGTTTTGAAGCATTCCTAAATGTTCCTGCGTGGCAGTGATGTTAAGTATATCTGGATGAGATGCTTCTTGTTCATTCTGATAGAACCTTTCCTCCTTAGACTACTGTCATAGTTAAGGTTCTTCTGTGCTGAAAGAGAACTTTGCCTGTTAGAGCACTGTTGCTGTTGTCTTCAGTATACAGTCAACCCTCGACTTACGAACGTCCCTAGATAAGAACTTTTTGATTTATGAATGGCTCCATTGGCAAAATTGGCATCGACTTGCGAACGGAGTTCGACCTACGAACGAGGTTGATGCTCCGTTCGCAAGTCAATGCCATTTTTTTTTGCCAACGGAGCCATTTGTAAGTGGCTCCCTACAAAAAGGCAGGGAGAAAGGGCTGGAAATATGAATACATATCCCGCCCTTTCTCCCTGCCTTTTTGGCTTTGGAGCTCTCAACGGGCTTCCTCCGATATCAGGGGGAAAGCCCATTGAGGGTTCCAAAGGCGCCGATCGCGGCGGCGGGGACCACCAGGGAAGTCTCCCATGGCTTGCCCGCCATCATGGGAGACCTCCTTGGGCTCCCCGCTGCCGCGATTGACACCTTCGGAGCTCTCAAAGGGCTTTTCCCCCGACATCGGAGGAAGCCGTTTGAGACCTCCCAAGCCAAAAAGGCAGGGAGAAAGGGCAGGAAATTGGAATTTCCAGCCCTTTCCCCCTGCCTTTTTGCCTTTTGACATGCTGGAACAGATTAATTTCGTTCCCATGCATTTCAATGGGAAATGGTATTCGACTTACGAACTTTTCGACTTACAAACGTCATTCCAAAACGGATTGAGTTTGTAAGTCGGGGTACCACTGTATGACCAACCCAAGACAGTTTTTCATGTGAGGCACAACAGTAAATGGTGTTTCCCCCAAGTCAAAATATGTTGCCCCAAAGAAAATCAAGTTATTTTGACACATGAGGCAGAAAATTCTACCATCTCCAGCTCTATCTGGCAGTAAATATGCAATAAAATAAATAACATTTTGCCCCTAATACCTCATAACCTGAGATGGGTGCCTCTTTTTGTGTAATGGTAGGCCTGGTCTTCGGTACAGATGGTAGGGAGACCAGTGCAGAGTTTTAAGTGGTTGTTACATGGACTGCAACATTTCATCAATATTAAATTGCCTTTAAGAAAGACGTAGTCTTAAAAATGGCCACTTTTGACATTTCATCCTAGCTGCTTTGTTTTCATAGAATGCATACAATGGGTATATGCCAGAAACAGCAAAATATTTACCTTTATAATGGTCATTTTTAATATCTGATAACTATGAAAATGACAGGTTTTTGATAAACTGACACACAAGTGTATTTTGCTTTCACTGTTGTTTTCTGTAGTGCTATTGTGTTAAAACGTATGGCCTGTAAGATACATATCGGTCAGTGCCACCTGCCTTCTCTTCCACTAGAGTGCTTTTCTCTCATTTTGTTTTTTAGGTGCCTATCTACTCACTTTGAAAGACACTTTTTTTGACCGAGCTAAAGCCTGTCAGATTATTGCCTCTATCCTGGTTGGCAAAGATGAAAAAATTAAAGTGCGCCTTCCACCTCCAGCAATCCTCAAGGTATGGGTCATGTTGCATTTCGACACTAATAGCTTGTTCTTCTCCAGGAGTAGTATCTGTTTGTGTGAACATAGAACCAGTGTCACCGGTGCTGTAGTCCAGTGTATCAACAGGTGTATTTTGAGACAGGGCAAGAAAAGAGGCATATTGGAAAGACAGCAAGCTGTAATTTGAACACAGTTGAGTGGTTCATCTCAACAGCTTGTCTCTCTTGTACTAAATATTTTTATATTTCATTTTTGACTGTGCAGAATGATGCTAAAACCGCATCATGATTTTAAAATATCATTGTAGCCAAAACAGCACAGTGTTCTGATCTGTGAGTACAGTTGTTCTAGATTTGTGGTGTTGTTGTTTAGTCGTTAAGTCATGTCCGACTCTTCATGACCCCATGGACCAGAGCACGTCAGGCCCTCCTATCTTCCACTGCCTCCCGGAGTTGGGTCAAATTCATGTTGGTCGCTTCGGTGACACTGTCCAACTATAGATTTGTGTAGCTAATGCAATTTGTAGCCCTGATACTATTCCATGGCCTTTTGTGGGTACATTGCTACTTGGGCTGAAATGCTTAGAAAGTAGTGAAAGAGTGAGTTAAAGTCCCTACAGCAGGAGTGGGAAATCAGTAAACTACTGCAGCCATTTTCCTTCACTATTGACCAAACTGATGGGAATTGGAGTCAACAGCATCTAGAGGAGTGCTTCCCAACCTTGAGTCCCCATATGTTCTTGGACTACAACTCCAAGAAAGCCTGGCCAGCACATAGTGGTGAAGCTTTATGAGAGTTTTAGTCCAAGAATGTCTGGGAATGCAAAGTTGGGAACCACTGATCTAGAGGGCCACAGGGCACCCTTATCTTTGCCCTAAAAAGTATTAGAAGTTTTGTTTTTCTAGTTTGGTAGAAACCATTCAGCCTGCATTCGCCATCTTTTCTCTGTGTCTTCTTTCAGCCTGTTACACTGTGGACGGGGAAGCAGGTCTTCAGCATAATTTTAAAGCCCAGTGACAGTTGCCCTGTCAAGGCCAATCTCCGAACCAAGGGCAAGCAGTATTGTGGCAAGGGAGAAGACTTGTGCAACAACGATTCCTGTAAGTGAGGATGGCCATTCAACCCACAATTAGATGATTGCAAAAGTGAACTATATTGTCTCTTCAAAGAATCTTTGAAAATTGCTGGATAGCTCAATGGTTTAAGTATCTGGCTATGGAGCCAGACGTTGGCAGTTCAATTCCCCGCTGTGCTTCCTTGACAGGGGTTGGACTCAATGATCCATAGTGTCCCTTCAAGCTCAGAAGTTCTATGATTTTGTTTATGATTATACAAATTAATTCTTTAAGAATTGAAGTTTAAGACCGATAAAAGAATGGGCTTTTATAAACATACAGTGGGGTCTCGACTTATGAACTTAATCCGTATTGGAAGGCAGTTCTCAGGTCGAAAAGTTCTTAAGTCGAATCTGCATTTCCCATAGGAATGCATTGAAAACCATTTAATCCGTATCTGCTCTTTTCGTCCATAGAAACTAATGGGAAGCTGCTATTCCGCCTTCTCTGTCTCTTCAAAAAATCTTTGAAAATTGCTGGATAGCTCAGTGGTTTAAGTATCTGGCTATGGAGCCAGACGTTGGCAGTTCAGTTCCCCGCTGTGCTTCCTTGACAGGGGTTGGACTCAATGATCCATAGTGTCCCTTCAAGCTCAGAAGTTCTATGATTTTGTTTGTGATTATACAAATTAATTCTTTAAGAATTGAAGTTTAAGACCAATAAAAGAATGGGCTTTTATATGCATACTGCATAATAGCTACATGGAAGGCACTGGCAAAACGCCTAACGAAAGCCTTTGACTGAGATAGATATGAAAGAAGATTTAAAAAATCATGGAGGGCAAGTCTGTTAAAAATTCAAAAAATCTTTGAAAATTGCTGGATAGCTCAGTGGTTTAAGTATCTGGCTATGGAGCCAGACGTTGGCAGTTCAATTCCCCGCTGTGCTTCCTTGACAGGGGTTGGACTCAATGATCCATAGTGTCCCTTCAAGCTCAGAAGTTCTATGATTTTGTTTGTGATTATACAAATTAATTCTTTAAGAATTGAAGTTTAAGACCAATAAAAGAATGGGCTTTTATATGCATACTGCATAATAGTTACATGGAAGGCACTGGCAAAACGCCTAACGAAAGCCTTTGACTGATATGAAAGAAGATTTTAAAAATCATGGAGGGCAAGTCTGTTAAAAACTGTTAGTTGTGATTCCTAAGCATAACTTGTGTGTTTGATAGCAAGTCTATGTCTGGCAATCAGTGCTTTGGACAATCATGGCAATCCTGGGGAGAGATATTGCTTTTATGCCAGGTTTTGGAGCACAGTGATGTAGAGCTTTGGAAGTTCTTCCATTTTTGTTTGTTTCACCCAGGATGCCCTACCCAGCATGTTCACGTCAATTGTAGATTTTTCTCTCTTGTTTATTCTGTAGAATTGTTTTAAGTGTCTTTTCATGTCTGTACCTATCCCAAGTACCTCCAGATGAAGGGCAGGACAGGTAAGTAGTATGAAATAACTGGTTTGTGAGCTTCCCAGAAGCAGCTGGCTGGACACTGCTGGAAATAAAGATAAAATAGATCTTTCTTCTAATCCAGCAGAGGCATTCTTCTCTTTTATGAGACCACCAAAAGAGTTTGTTATCTGGCTTTTGATAAAACAAAGTTGGTTTGTAGTGAAATATCTGTGCTTTTGTTTCACTTGAAGATTAGAGCTAATGGGTTAATACACGTTTGACTGAAAAAGTCGTTAGAAAAGGTAAAGTTGAGTAACTTTAGATAGAATATATAGAAAAGCTTTCTGGATTAAGCCAGACACCTTGAAACTCTTAGTGTTAAGGAGGGCAAACCAATGAGTTTTCAAAAGAGTGTTTTGGTGAGGAATTAGAGGTCCTTCTGGAGAAAACTCAATACAACTGATGTATTTAGTAGAGTTGGCAGATGGAAACTGATGGATCACTAAGGAGAATCTGGCTCAATTCTATTTGTTTAGATTTAGGTTTGGGAGCTAATTAATCAAGAACATCCTTTCAATCCAATCAGGCTGTTAAGTATTTCCTAATTTTTTTAATTGTTTTAAAATGTTTAATTTTTAAATTTTGATTTGGCAAGAGCTATGCTTAGGAAATGAACGAGACTTCACCAAACCCTCTCATGCTTCTGGCATATATATTTTTAGGATAAGTTCATGGGGTTTGCCTTTTGAGTGTTCTTAAAATTTCTCCTTTCATATACACTATATGGTTTGACTTGGTAATGATTTCTGAGTCTAACAGGTAACTTGTTTCTAGGTTTGTACAATGGTGTTGCAACCAGGCCAGGACCTGCCACTGGATTATTCTGTAACTCGCAGTAGGTTTCACAAGTGGCACCATCCCTGTAAAAAGTTTGGTCAGATATATTAAGAGAGCAGAAGAATGAGGAAAAGAAGTGACTGTGTTGCACATTGGGGTTAAAGGTGGATTCTGAGTGTGAAAAAGCTGAAAAATGCGATGTTAAGGGATCTCATAGGTAGCTGCCTTCTTTTTAATATTATTTCCAAAGCACTTGAATTAGTAGTTAGGAAAATGATTTCTCTAATAGATGGACATCGAGGCAAGGAGAAGGCCACTACATCATATCCTTTCTGTATTTATGGGATTACTTAGACTTAGTTCTCATTGAAGCTATAAACCTAGATGTGAGCTGTACTGTTGCAAATTATTGGTTGTTATCTACCATATCTATACTGCTCACCATGAAAAACTAGGGGGTCTATGCTATTTTTCAGTATATATGTGAGGGTAGGATTGAATGGAGGAATTTGCTGTCAGTTGAGGTCTTAAAGAGGTACAGAGTTGTGTGTCTCTGTGAGAATGAGCATTGCCTGGGCAAAGCAAATAAAGGGGGCTTAGTTTGCCAATTTAAGCTGGTTTGTGTTTCAGATGTTACCGTCCACAATAGTGAGCTGATGTGTGGCAGCATGGACAAGGGAACTTTGGGCTCTGGATCGAAGAATAATATCTTCTATATTTTGCTGAGAGACTGGGGACAAGTGGAAGCAGCTGATGCTATGTCACGACTAGCCAGACTTGCTCCTGTCTACCTCTGTGAGTGCCTTTGAGAAAGGATTTGTGGGAATTTTATTTATTCATGACTGTATTGCCATCCCTCCCTTCCTCCCCAGGATTTCAGGCCAGTGTACGTGATTATCTCCACTGCATATTTTATCCTTACAGTGACCCAGTGAAGTAGGTTGGCATGAGAGGTTTTTTTACTGCCACCAAGTTGCCTGCTGAGTTTTGTGGCAGTAGGAAGTTTGGAACCCAGGTCTCCCTACTCCTAGTCAGAAATATCCCTGTTAAGGGTTTTTCTCAAATGTTTAGGCTGAATGATGCACCACTATTAATCAAGGCAGGGAACAACTCCATTCAGGAAGACATACTAACCCAGCGTGTATAGAAATGTCTGATGAACTAATGCAATAGGGAAAGAATGAAGGGGCAAAAAGAACATTCTGTACAGAAATATAGCATAAGCATCCAAAACCATCGACCAAAAATAGCATTTAAGCTAGTTTTGCAAGTTATAGAAAAGACAATTACCTCGTGGTTTTGCAGCCATGGTTTGAATTCAGTACAGAGCTACAGTGGTGCCTCGACTTATGACCATCATCCATTCCAGAAGATGGGCGTAACACGAAATGGTCATTAATTCGAAGCACCATTTCCCATAGCAATACATTGAAACCCCATTAATCCATTCTGGCTGAAAAAAATAAACAAACAAACAAATCAAGCCGTATCGGAACGCGATAGGGCTGGGGAAAAACGCACACACAAAAAATCACAGCACAGAAACATAACCCCCCCCAAAACCTAAACTCGCCCTGCAAAACAAAGTAAATGTACTTACTCAGGAGCAGAAAGCAGCTCCAGGCAGTCCAAAGCCTCCTCCAATGCACTCACTCTAGCCATTGGGGTGAAAGAGCTAGAAAAAAGCTCTTCCCTGACCAGCGGTTAGTACCTACATTTGAATTCCCCGCCTTTTTTCCCTGCCTCTTCTCTGTTTGCAACTTGAAGCTCCTGCCGCAAGTCGAAGCAAAATTTTGTGGCCGGGGCTGGTCGCAACTCGAAATGGTCATATGTCGGGATGGTTGTAAGTCAAGGCACTAGATCAAATAAAACTCTCTGTGTGACCTTGAAGAAGCTGAAATGGAAATTTTATCTTTCTTTGCTAACGCTTAGCTAATCGAGGGTTTTCCATTGGAATTGGTGATGTAACCCCTGGCCAGGGTTTACTGAAAGCAAAATATGAACTTTTGAATGCTGGTTATAAGAAATGTGACGAATATATTGAAGCTTTGAAGACTGGAAAGCTACAGCAACAGCCTGGCTGTACAGCAGAAGAAACACTAGAGGTGAGTTAATGACAGTGGTTCATTGTTTGGAGTAATGGGTTTGCGTAGCTCAGGAGTCACGCCTCTACCACGGACTTTTTATATTTGATAGGCTCTCAAGCCAGCCAGGGGTGAGGCATAGTCATTAACATTCTGATTGATTTACTGTGATTTGGCCACTTGAAATGCAGTCTCTGTTTCTACATCACAGTGCTCTTCAGTTGATATTCTCCTTTTGTCCCTTCTCAGCACTTGTTCATTTCCCCTCATGTTCCCATTCTGTCACCTGCCTGCCTTTTGCAGAAGGGCGAATGCTCTTGCCACAAGCTTATTTGACATGTGATGGTCATCGCCACAGGAATAGTGCATCTCTCAAAACTGGTTAGAACAACAGAGGGAATCGGGCAGCCTCCTGATCTGTGTGCCAGACAGGGATTATGTATTCTTGTGCTCTTGGTCAGAGAGCATCCTGGGATTTTGCTGTTTTGTTTTTCTATTCAATTCATCAGTCTATTCACCACACAACAATTCAGACCCTGAATTCAGTCACTAGCATGACTGCCATATCAAAGTTCTAAAAGTCAAACCCAAAATCCAGTTACATTGTGTGACTGTGGCAATCCACATGTTCTTGCCTCCATAATTTGGTTGCATTTTATTATATTGCAGAGAGTACATGAATGATGTTCTTTGCTAGGGACAGTGTGCCCATTTTTAAGCTACTTTTTCTTCTTTGGTGGTTACAGTCTGTTGCAATATCATGAAAGCTTTGAGGTTGATACTGCATACTGTAAATAAACTGTTGTAATCATTATTTAAGAATTGTGAGTCTCTTTCTAGGCGCTGATTCTGAAAGAGCTGTCTGTGATTAGAGACCATGCTGGGAGTGCCTGTCTTAGAGAACTAGATAAGAGTAACAGCCCCCTCACCATGGCTCTTTGTGGTTCTAAAGGTAAGATGGTTACAATCTAAAAAACACAAGGATCAAATCGTTCTTCCATTTCTGTTGTCAGTCCATACAATATTAGATAGCAAAACTGTTTTCTGAAGGGTATATCTAGTATATAGACTTCCTCTCCCTGCCCTAGCTCATAAAAACCTGAATCTGCAGCAGTAAAAGGAAGTGTAAATATAATGCTAAGTATGTATATGCAAACAGTCCTTCCACTTGATTGTACATGGTTGGCATCTAATTGAAACAGATTTCCTATTTCCAATATTCATTTGGTTTTAGCAACTAAAGATTGGTGGTGTGGCCAAAGTCAATGCCAACCAAGGTCGTCTGGCTTCAATGAGATTATGGAATCATGAACCCTGCACAGCAGGGTGTTGTTTTTTTATGTATGTTTATTTTTATGTGCTCAACATCCTGTTCAAATCAGATTCTTTGTCTGTTAAATGTCGCTGCAAATCCCTATTCCCTTCTTTGTGTGTTGAGTTTCATCACATAGTTGGAAGACAGACAGCTCTGTCTTCATTTTATATCATGTCATGTACTGGTCAATTTGCGGGCCACCCAATTATGAGTAGATTCAGAGGCGCCTTGTGTTGGCATTTGGTTGTGCATGTTGAAAAACAGTTCTTAGCTTGCAAAAGTATATTCAAATCAAATACAGTGGTGCCTCGCATTACGATTGCCCCGCATTACGATGACGTTTTTGCGATCACTTTTGCGATCGCAAAACAATGATCTAAAGGGGTTTGTTTCGCTTTGCAATGATCGGTTCCCTGCTTCGGGAACCGATTCTTCGCAAAACGATGATTTTCTACAGCGGATCGGTGGTTTCAAAATGGCTGCCGGGTAAATAAAATGGCTCCCCGCTGTGTTTTTGGACTGATTCCTCGCAAGACAGCCACCGAAAATGGCCGCCGTATGGAGGATCTTTGCTGGACGGTGAGTTTCCAGCCCATTGGAACGCATTGAAGGGGTTTCAATGCGTTTCAATGGGCTTTTCGCATTACAATGTTTTCGTTCTACAGCGATTTCGCTGGAACAAATTAACATTGTAATGCGAGGCACCACTGTATATCCTGTATGTAGTCTAACCTTAGAAGAAGTCAGTGGATTTTATCACATTTTCCTTTTAATTTGGTAATAAGATGTGAAATATTTCACACACATTAATATTGACTATAAGTCATACTTCATTTCTTAGTAACCAGTAAATTCTCCACGGTGTTTTGAGAGTTTACATGAGAATGAAAAATAGAAGGGGGGGACTTCTTTGTGAATTGAGATGTGAGACAAGAATGCTGCTTAACATTTGTTTTGTATGTGTGTTTCCTGGTAGGCTCTTTCATTAACATATCCCAGATGATTGCTTGTGTCGGACAACAAGCTATTAGTGGGTCACGAGTGCCTGATGGCTTTGAGAACCGATCCTTGCCTCATTTTGAGAAGCATTCCAAGGTAAAGAGCTTTTTAGTTAAACAGAGAATTGCTTCTCTGTTAAGAATTGCTAAGCACTGTCATAGAATGGAGCAGGAGCAGTCCCCTAGGAAATAGATCTGTGGCTTCTGGTACTGTACAGGTCACTCAGGAACCTGCCATGGAGTTAAGGATGGAGTATTTTGGGGGGGGGGGATAAAGATGAAAACAGTGCATATAAATATTAGACCTGTGGTCATGGGCTCTGGGAAAAACAAGCCATCATGCGAGATTGATGTTGTGACAGACAACCCACCGATTGACTCAGCTATTGCTTGAAAGAAAACTTTCTGAGTTTTGTACAGCACCCCTGGTAGGGCTTTCAAAGTTAGTGGGGTATTTTGGGGGTGACTTTAGCACTGCCATGACACCAGTGAGTTTCCATGACTGAGCAAAGATTCGAACCCAGGCCTCCTGAGTCCTAGCCCATCACTCTATTTAATACCCCACACTGAGTGTCTTTGTGGTTTTCCCTGCAGTTTTGGAATGGGATGTTGATCTCTGTGCAAAAAAGGCCATCACTCTGTTGCTCCTTATCCTTACGGGTCATGCGAGGACACTTGTTCACATGCTTGTTGGCTACAACTGATTGTCTCAAATGTGTGTATATGGCATTTCCTGAGGAATCCACAAGTCAAAGCCACTCAGGCAAAGATACTGGCTTAGGTACCCAGTGTGCAACCTGTGTTCTGACAAAGTGTGTGATGTTAACACTTCTCTTCTATCTTTGTTTTAAGTGTATGGTTTCCCCTTTCTTATTTTATCTTCTGTGAGGTAGAAAACAACAACAAAAAGTGACCAACCCAAGATAGCTCAGTGAGCATAATGTCTCAGAGAAGATTTCAAGACAGATTTGGCTGACCCTAGTCAGACACTTTTCGGTATTGCTGGAGTTGAATACAGGCTGTTGTGGAATATATTTCAGACAAGTTCTTTCTCTTGCAGCTTCCAGCAGCTAAAGGTTTTGTTGCCAACAGCTTCTATTCTGGCTTGACACCGACTGAATTTTTCTTCCACACAATGGCTGGTCGTGAAGGTCTCGTGGATACAGCTGTAAAAACAGCTGAAACTGGATACATGCAGGTAGCTGGGGGCACTCCCCTGTGGGCACAAGACAATCTTGGCAGAACAAACTATCATGATCCATTACTCTTTATTATATTAACAGTTTCTTTTGCCTCAATTAAATCAAGAAAATAACTAGTATTCTTTTTCCCCACTAGTAACTTCCATCCCCTTTCAGTTTCAATTCTGTGAAGGATTGGAGACAGACAGAAAGAACCACATGTACCTAGACCCTTGTATGAAGATGGTAGGGAAGATAATGAGTTGCCAAGTTTTTTTAACACAGAGATAGCTTTGCAAAGCCTAGAAACATTTATACAAAACAGTAAGCCCACTTTCACATATTAGAGGCAGAATGTGGAAGTCGTACTGTTTTCCACTGCATCTCTCAAAATCCTGCAACTACGTGGTCAGTGGTAGGGCTGTTTAGGGGATTCTTAGTGTTATAGCTGAAAAGGGGGGAAAAGCAACTTCTCCAAAATCTAGCTAAATTTGGTTGTTGTGGGTTTTTCTGGCTCTTTGGCCGTGTTCTAGCTAAATTTGTGTGGCCATATTTTTGATAAGAAAGAGACTGAACTGACTTTCATTTTATAGTTGATTTTCTGCCTCATTTCCTAGAATTTATTATTGTTGTTTTTTTACTGAAGTGAACCAGACAGGTCACTATTTATATGTCTATGTGAGGCTAGTTTCATATTAAAGAATACCTCTGTTTCTTGCTAAAGGGCACATAGGAAGGGGGCTAAGAGGGCTTATGGTTCCAGATAATTTCTCTTCCAGCCACTGTATTCTTAAAAACTATCTCTCTTCCTTATTAACTCTTAGAGACTTATGTATCAGACAAAATCCTGTTGATATTCATGCAAAGTTTGCATAACTTTCTACAATTAATTGCAGCACAGTGACAAAGTGTTATGGTGCACCTTGGATGCAAAGCTGGTCATGTACGTGACTAGGCAGCCAAGATATGCCCCAGCACTTCATGAGTTACCTGCTCCAAGTTACACAAACTTTACACAAATACCACAATAGACTTCTGACCATAATATTTGCAAATAGGAGTTGTGGTGCACTTTTCAGTTAAGTAAATTAAGATTTTCTCGATATTTTGGTGAATAAATTTTAACCGTTGGTTTACACAAGGTAGTGGCAACGCATGAAGATGGTTGCCTGATAGCTTCAGTCTGTAATATTGGTGACATGAGTCAGAGTTACAGGATTGTAGAGGTGAAAGATCATGTATTCTAAACCCTGCCAGAGTAAGAAATACACAGTTAAGCAGAATCATAGAAGTGTGTTGGAATGTTCACTTCAGAGACTCAAATGAAGTGGTACATTTGCAATTATATTCCGTATACTAAAATATGTGTGTGTGTGTGTGTGTGTGTCCTTGTGAATTCAGTTGCACAACTGAATAAACATTTATTTCTATATCTTTTTGCAAATAGAATGTCATAAGAGCCATCCTGTATTTGGCAGCTAACAACATCCGATTTCTAAACTAAACTGTGTTGACCCATGTATGTCTCAAAGAGACTGTCCTTCACCCAATTCATCTTTTCCCAGAGACGCCTGGTAAAGTCACTAGAAGATCTGTGCTCACAGTATGACTTGACTGTCAGGAGTTCTACTGGTGACATTATACAGTTCATTTATGGTGGGGATGGTCTAGATCCTGCAGCCATGGAAGGAAAAGATGAACCTCTGGAATTCAAGCGTGTTCTGGACAACATCAGAGTAAGTATAGAACGCCTTCTTATATTGGTAGAAATATCAATAAACTTGAAGATAATCCTGACCTTTAATAACAGATTTTCCCACTCATGATCAGGTTAAGCTGTGAAACAGAATTCTTAATGTACTATGTTTGATCTAGCATCTATTCTGTAAAAGTGTTCTTCAAAATTCTGCAAGATTTCTAAAGCTGTTGAAAACCTTGTATTCTTGAAGGCTTTCATGGCTGGGATCTGATGGTTGTTGTGGGTTTTTTGCGCTCTCTGGCTGTGTTCTGAAGGTTGTTCTTCCTAACGTTTCGCCAGTCCCTGCAGCCGGCATCTTCAAAGGACAGCACTCTGTGCTCTGGTGCAGTTGGCTTGGGAATGCAGCCTTCAGAACATGGCCAAAGAGCCCGAAAAACCCACAACAACCATCTGTTGAAAACAACTTTAAAGGATCTATCTCAGAACTGTTTGTTGTTGTTCTTTTGCCTTAAATGGGAGCATTTGTAAAAGCAATGTGACCCACAACCTACAATATGATTTTGAAAGCATATTTAATTGTCTGAAGAAACTGAATGAAAAATGCCCATGTAACTCGCCTGTATACTGCTTTGTTGCTTAAGGCAGTGTATCCAAGTCGAAGTGAGCCAGCACTCAGTAAAAATGAATTGGTGTTAACTTCTGAATCCATCATGAAGAAGAATGAATTCCTTTGTTGCCAGGACAACTTCTTACAGGTGACGTCTTTGCTTTTTCACATAAATGTTATTTTGTCATAAAAGGAGCTGCATTTCTTTGAACACAAAGCAAGCTTCCTGTTTTTACTTGTTTTGTGCTACCTCAGTGGTTCAGCAGACAGATTTGAAGTACATAATGTGTGTGTCAGGTTGATTCCAACTTATGGCAACCCTCTCCAGGGTTTTCCAAGTAAAGAATGCACAGAAGTAATTTACCAGTCCCTTCTTTGGGGGATACTTTGGGATTGTGCAGCTTGTCCAGGGCCACGCAGGCTGACTGTTCTCCCAGAAGACACAATTTGGAATCAAACTCCCCACCTCTGGCTCCACAGCCAGATGCCAAAACCACTGAGTCTTCCAGCCAGCTGTTGAAATACATACCGTTTGCATTTTCTTCAGCTCACAGGATTCTGAGAAAATTGTTTATATTTTTCCGTTCGAACCAACAGGACTCCTAAATCTTCCCTTTTAAAGTAGTACTGCTCTCATAACCATAAACTAGGCTGTAGTCACTTTGGTGTTCTGTATTTAGCATAATTGTTGAAGTGCAGTGGTAGAGGTTTGCTTTACAGGCAAACCAAGATGTATAAGGGACATGGTGTATTTCTTTCTGTGAAAAATTCGTGAGGTGTATTTCAGTAACAACAATACCTGTCACTCTATTTGTTCTGTTTTCTCTTGAAGACATTTACTGAAACAGGTTATGCAACGTATAATGAGGTAATTGTAGCATTTGTGTGTGTGTGTGTGTGTGTGTGTGTGTGTAAAGGCACACTGTGTTGGTCCCTAGAATAGTAGTGCTACTGGAACTGTGAAATGTGTCTATAGACTCTTAATCCCTGGCTCATCCATTCCCATTTGCATGTGGGGAGGAGCAGTGTGACCATTTCCTCTGCTCCATGAGGGATAACATCTTGTGTGAGCTGAAAGTTGCATACCAAGATCTGGTTCCCTCCCCTTGCCTAGGTGTGAGTGAGCTGTAGGATCTGCAGTACCTCCTCCTGGTCAGAAGGTGAGGCTGGATTCCAGGTTTAAAAATGGGATGTGTTACAGAGTTTCCCAAACAAGCTATGGATGGCTTTCAGGTTGTTTTGGATGTCTTTGTGTTCCTGCTTTTCTGGCTTTTCTTTCTTTCTTTTCTCTCTTTTTAAAATGATTTCCCTTTTGTGATTCATGAAGGCCTTACATGCATTCCTAGCAGGGATTACAGTGTCCTTCAGATTTCATTTGCTTCCATATTTCAAATGACAGTTTTATTTGTCTAATGACAGTTCTCCTCTACTCTCCCCCACATCTGTTTTCACTCGCAGCCGAGAACACATGCGTGTTCTGAGGCTGCTGCCAAGAGACTGCCAGATGAAATTATCTGTTGTCACAACAACAGGATGATCACAACCTGAGAAAAATCACATCAACAACATGACCTAGGCTTTGGGAACATAAGAAAGGAATGCTAAAAGCAGCTGCTCTTCCCCTGCCCAAGGAGTCCAGCATACTCACTTTTGTAGCGAACTGAAAATGAGGTTCTTTCTTTGCCCCAGTGCCTGCGTCCTCTTACTCACTGGAGCAAATTAATACACACACACACACACACTTTCACTAACTGTAGACATTGTGAGATGTGTTCCCCTGCCCAAGGAGTCCAACATGCGCGCGCACGCACGCACGCACGCACGCGCACACACACACACACACACACACACACACTCTTTCACTAACTGTAGACATTGTGAGATGTAAGGGCACCCTTAGTGGCCAGCATTGAAGCTGCAGGTGTTTTTTGGTTGCACCTGGCAGTAACATTGCTGTTCACATCTTGCCGGTGTATGCAGCTGGGAGAGCAAATAGACAGCATGCCAAACGTTGCTTTCACAGTTAAGTACTACTTTGTTTCCCACTTGTTCCTTGCTGGAAGGCTGAATCACAGCAGGAACCTCACCATATTACTCCTGTTTAAATGGGAGGTAAAAACCAACAAATACTCAGAAACAGGCCTTAGGCTGTCTTTTCTGTGAGTGGAGGGGGGGACTCTGTTGTGAAGACATGTTATGGCACAAGGGAGAGCATTGGTAGCATATTGATGTATGCTGTGTGTTAAGAAGCCATTATTCTAGCTCACGCTTTTGTGACAAGCCAGAACTGAGAGCAGAATTCAGATTATTTTCAATTTCCTTTCATTTGCAGCTATGTTTGCAGTTGGCAAAGATTTGAACTGGAATAATGGCTTCTTATCATAGTACAGCTGAAATCCTGTTGCACAGCTCCAGGTGCACAACAATGATGATGCCATTAGCAGTGGTAAATCACTTCTGAATAAAGGCTTCTTTGGGAGATTGTGGGGTATATGTGACTTAGTCACATTGTATACAAGTTCTGTGAACCCCAAAATGAATAATAGTTGGTGGTGATTTGTCTTAAATCACTAGCAGTTTGGTGCTGATGGTGACATCAGTTGTGCACATGGAAGCGAGCAATAGGGTTTCAGGCTACATATAGTAACAGGCTGCTTTGTGCTCATCACAGTGATTTTATGCTGAAGTTGAATGTGTCTGTTTTGGGGGGGGGTTTTTTGCATTTCAGTTATGACAGAACCCTTTCAGAAAATTTTACTGTTTTACATTGTGAAGCAGGTTCAAAATGGAAAGAATGAGATCTGCTCTATTAGGTAGCTTAGCATGAAGTGGCAGATTCCTGTTGCATCCGGTAGTGCCTGGATGCTAATGTTAATGCTGTTATCATTCCATTTAATTTCACTGTCACCTCTCTGTGTACTTTCCACCCAGACAGAATTATCCAATGCCCCTAAACTAACTGCACTCTCTGCATTTGAGGAAGTGGAACTGTGTGACCATAAATGTTCATGATGTAATATATGTATTTGTCTTGAAGGTCCAACATGAACTCTTTATCATTTTCCCCCTAACACTGGAATCATTCCCAGGGCAGCTGGGAATAACTGCTTGCCCTTTGGTAAATTTTGGTGTAATCGTGCACTCACTCCCTAAGGGGTCATAAATTACTCTGAATTTAGAAAATTCACCTCTGCAGGGTCAGTCTATATAACCTTGGAGGCTTCCAATGTTGAAAGCATCCAAACGTGAGTTGGAGGAGGAACCTGCTTCCTGCAGCTTTCCATTGGACAAGCCTATAATGTCTTAAGAAGTTGTAGTTTGAAGTTTCCCTATGAGGAAGAAGGGTTTATACTAATCAAGTCAGCAGTGAAGCACAATGTACATGAGTCCTTTGTTGCCATCAGAGCATGGCTAGTATCATGCCTGAAGAGAAATTACACCCTCTCTGAATTCCATGGTTTTAGGTAGGACATAATAAAAATCATTTGGTCCTTAGTGGATCTGAAAATTACATAAATATAATCTCAGAAGAACACATAACATATTACACTGTGCCTTGACTTATTTAACAAAAATAAAGCCAAACTAGAGAAGTCATGTGTGAAAAACCAAGTACAGTGGTGCCTCGCTTAACGAGCGCACCGTTTAACGACGAATCCGCATAGCAACCCATTTTTTGGGGTAGCTAATGCGATCACATTGCGATGTTTAGATAGGCTAAAGATCGCATTGCGATCATTTCTGCACCTGGCAGCCATTTTGGGAACAACTGATCGGCAGTTCCAAAATGGCCACCGGGTGCAGAAAATGGCTGCCCGCACCATTTTCGCGCCCTGCCCTCGCTTACCGAGGGTGCGAAAATGGCAGCACTATGGAGAAACTTCGCAGAATGGTGAGTTTAAGAGCCAAGTTTAATGCGTTTCTATGGCGTTTTTCGTTCCGTATACCGATGTTTCCCCATAGCAACGGTTAATCCGGAACGGGCACCACTGTAAACCCTTACTGCTTCCATTGGAATTAAGAGGCGAAGTAGCAGCCAGGTGCTACTAACCAAATGCCCTTGAGTTGGCAAGTTTGACCATCTCTTTAAAAGGTGATGTTTTAGCACTTTGCTGGTCTGGGGCATTCAGATGTGTGTTAACACAATGCCAAGGAGGAAACATATCAGCAATGATCATAGACAAGCAATTGTTGCTGCCCCTCATTCTACAATGAGGAAGATTATTCACAAGTGGAAAACATTCAAGACAGTTGCCAATCTTTTCAGGAGAGGACATCCAAGCAAATTCACCCCAAGGTCAGACCGTGCCAAAAAACCAAGAATTACATCTCGGATTCTACAGGCCTCAGTTATCATGTGAAATGTTAACGTTCATAACAGTACAATTAGAAAAAGACTGAACAGATATGGTTTGTTTGGAAGGGTGGCCAGGAGAAAGCCTCTTCTCTATAAAAATAACATGGCAGCACAGCTTATGTTTGACTTCTGGAACAATGTCCTTTGGACGATGAGACCAAAGTGGAGATGTTTGACCATAATGCACAGTGCCATGTTTGGCGAAAACTAAACACTGGGGACGTGGTGGAGCTCTGGGCTAAATAACAGAAGCCTGTGCTGCAAGATCAGAAGACCAGCAGTCGTAAGATCGAATCCACGCGACGGAGTGAGCTCCCGTTGCTTTGTCCCAGCTCTCGCCAACCTAGCGGGTCGAAAGCATGCAAATGCAAGTAGATCAATAGGGACCACCTCGGTGGGAAGGTAACAGCGTTCCTTGTGTAAGTCGCACTGGCCATGTGACCGCGGAAGATTGTCTTTAGACAAAACGCTGTCTCTATGGCTTGGAAACGGGGATGAGCACCGCCCCCTAGAGTTGAACACGACTGGACAAAAATTGTCAAGGGGAACCTTTACCTTTACCTAAACACAGTGCATTCCCACTGTCAAGCACAATGGTAGAGATGTGATGATTTGGACTTGTTTTGTAGCTATAGTCACTGAGTTGACTGAACTCCTCTGTATACCAAAGTATTCTATAGTCCAATGTGAGGCTGTCTGTCTAACAGGTAAAGCTTGGCCAGAATTGGGTCATGCAATAGGACAGTGATCCCAAGCACACCAACAAATCTACAACAGAATGGCTGGGGGGA